TTTTTTTGGTGCTGGGGATTGAATACAGGGCTCTGCCCTGAGCTACCTCCCCAGCCCTTTCTACTTTTAGACAATGTCTCACTGAGTCACTAAATTACCCAGACTGGCTCTGATATACAGTTCTTCTGCCTCACTCTCCCAGAGTCCTAGAACTGGGTCACCATGTCCTGCTGCTCTTTTTCGTTTCAGTTCTTGGGATTGAACCCAGAAACTCCAGCACATCTTCAGCAGGTGCCCACCCACTGAGTCACAGCTATAGTTCCTTTTGTTTTCTTTAAAATTTTGACACAACGTCTTGCTAATTTGCCCTGGTTAGCTTTAAACTTTCGATCCTCCTGCATCAGTCTCCCAAGTAGCTGGAATTGCAGGTATATGCCACTATGCCTAAAAGTGACTGGCTTTTAAAGCCATAGAGGATTCCTAGAAGTCCCTGTCCCAGTGCTACAGCACCTGTTTTTGGATTTTTTTTTTTTTTTTTTTGGCCAGGGGCAGGGAGCAGGGGACAAGGGGGAGGGGGCAGGCAAAGATATAGAATAATTTTAAGCTGCAGAACTACTTGTACACGGGTACAACAAATGTTTGGGACTGGCATACATTAGGCCCCAAAGAAAATCTTCAGTCTGTGACAGATTATAACTTGTCACTGTGACATTTGGTGAGAAAGATGGCTTGCCTCCATGAGTCGGTCTAACAGCAAGTTAATCTCTTACTTGGCAACAACCAAATCCGCAAGCCACACTTTATCTTCAGAACTATCAAGGCAATTGAACATAAGACAGAAAAAAAAGGACCTGCTACTTGCTCTAATTTGTTTGTTATCTCAAAATCAGCATTGTGAGACTGTCCAAAGTCTGTTACCCTTAAATTGTGAATACTATACACAAAATTGTCACCATTTTTGCTTTCTCAAACACTTCCAGTAGAAGCAATGAATAAGGAGGAAGATGTGTTCCTGCTAGTGAGAAATAGATACATAAATGAATAAGTAACACCCTGTACAGTTACTGTACAATTTTTTAAATTAGTTGAGGGGAAAAAGTTATCAACAATTTGAACTAAGGTTCTTTTTTTATGAATTTAGGACAGGGTCTATAGGGTCTACGGGGGTCTCACTATGTAGATAGGACTCATGGTGATTCTCCTGTTTTCAGCCTCCCAAATGCTGGGATTACAGGCGTACACCATCATACCTGGTCTCAATCACCTCCTCAGTGTGCCCCACAGGCGGGGCTGGCACAGCAAGCTGGGAATCAAACCCCAGCTGCTGTGCTCTGCCTAAGCAGGTGCTTTAGTCTGCTGAGCTATCTGGATGGCCCTGAACTAGGGTTCTTATAAAAATATAATTAATGTTGGGCCAGAGTTAGAGCTCAGTGGCATAAGCCCCAGCTTGGCAAGTGCAAGGTGCCAAGTTCAATCCCTAGCGCCATGCAGAAAAAAACAACAATGTAAAACACAAACATAGCATAATTAGTATTTTTGGATATAAATAAAATTTTTGTCATGAATATATTTATAAAAATACTATTTATAGGAGTGTGCGGAGAGTTTCCTGCTACCCTGCGCCGGCGG